AAAGGCTAGAAGGAGAGGGTGTAGCTAGTGATCAGCTTCAGTAACATCTCAGCTGGATTAATACAGGCCGGAGGACTCTGCTGCATTGTTATTTTCTGTTAATAAAGAGCTAATTGGATTCTGTGCCTCCCATGTGTGTGCCTGCCCTGTGGTTGACCTGGCTCATTGATGGCTCCTTGACAGTTAGAGTGCTGGACTAGGACCTGAGAGACCAGGGTTCAAATCCTTACTCTGCCATGAAGCTCACTGGGTGAGCTCGGGCCAGTCACTGCCTCTCAATTGAGCTCACAGGGTTATTGTGGGGGTTAAATGAGGGAAAGAACCATGTGTGCCATATCTTGAGCTCCTTGGAGAAAAACGTGGGACATAAATGCCATAAATAAATAGTGACCCCACTGTAGCTGGTAGTCAGTGGCCTGTTGCCTCTGAACTGAGAGGTTTTATATGTGGTCAATAGTGATGGCCTTTTCCTAAAACTAAAGGTAAAGGTAAAGGGACCCCTGACCATTAGGTCTAGTCGTGACCGACTCTGGGGTTGCAGCGCTCATCTTGCTTTATTGGCCGAGGGAGCCGGCGTACAGCTTCCGGATCATGTGGCCAGCATGACTAAGCTGCTTCTGGTGAACCAGAGCAGCGCACGGAAACACCATTTACCTTCTCGCCGGAGTGGTACCTATTTATCTACTTGCACTTCATGCTTTCAAACTGCTAGGTTGGCAGGAGCAGGGACCGAACAACGGGAGCTCACCCCGTCGTGGGGATTTGAACCACCAACCTTCTGATCAGCAAGTCCTAGGCTCTGTGGTTTAACCCACAGCACCACCTGCGTCCCTCTTTCACTAAACTAAAAAGTCCCATATACCACAACTTTTCCACATAGCAGAGTTACTCCATCCCCTTGAACATTGCCCTTTTCTAAACTTTTCCAATTCTACAGGCGGTTTTTTCGAGGTGAGGTGACCAAGTCTATTTCAGCTGATGAACATGATTTTTATTTTGTTTTGTGTGAGTAGGAAATCAAACTCAGTCCAAGAAGTCTGCTACCAGATGGTGCCCTCTGATTTCACGTTTAGAATTCAGCTTGACTGGTAAAAAAAACCTTTGACTTAGTTCAAAACTGGCGATGGGAATAATATGTCCTCCATCTGAGGGCCCCACCTCAATATCTGCTGTCTGAGGTGGCTGCCTTACTCTGCCTAATGGTAGAGCTATCACTGTAGAAAACTAACATTGGTTCTCTCTATTTACCCTCCTGTATCATCAAGGCTGGTGAGGCCGCTTAAGCCTTCATTCAAGAAAGGCATATTTCATAAGAAAAAGCCCCAGCTTGCATACAAACTTGTCTGTACAGACTTTTAAAGGGCTGGAGTAAGGGTGGAGGAGAGACAGTCGAATACAACGTCCTTTTAATTTCCCTCATATTACAGTAATTGCATTAAGAAAACTGTAATTTCATTAAATGGCATAATTACCATTAATACTTGGCAAACTGTCAATAGAAGGGGTAATTATTCCGGAGAAAAAAATTATAAGCAGAATGTGCAACGATGCATAATTCCTCACAACAGCAATTCAACGCTTAAAATTTACCTTTAAAATGTTTTTAAAATATGTATTACCCAGTGGTAGCAATTAGCTCCATGTGGCAGGCGTAACTTTCAGGACCAAAAATCTGCAGAGGGAGCTTTTCAGCAGAGATTTAGAAGGCAATTCAAAGCAAGTTCCCAAACACTATTAAAAGGAGAAATCTTGGAATATGTTTCACTTTTGCAATCATTAGGAGAAGCGCACACAAAAATGTGTATAAATTTTCATGCACTTTGGGTTTTTTTTAAAGAAAAGTTTGCAAACTCATACAGGAATGCAACAGACTGAACTTTTTGCATTGGATCAGATTGCTATTACATGTGTGATCTTTGCTGTCTATTTAGTTGTTTCCTCAGCTTGTAAACTGCCTTGGGTATAGTAACACAGAAAGGCGGCATACAAATTGAAAATGAAATGAAGATGAGCTCATGATTGGGGGAAATGAGAAATCGAGAGAAACTGAAAATTTACAGGTTCAGCCACCCCTAGATCATAGTCATGTACCTGCCCACCACCATACTAGCCAGCTGTTTCCATCAGAAGACAGAAAGCATCCTTATAAAACAACTAAACGTTAATATATGATCTATTAAAACAAAGAGATCATGAAAACATATACGGAATTGTTGTTAATTGTTTTGTCATTGAGGCTCTTAACTGCGAGATTGCTTCAAGATATTTTGTGGGGTGAGACTCCTAAATGAAATCATATAAATTAAATATATGAATTTGTGTGCTTGTGTGTGTGTGTGTGTGTGTATGAGAGCGGAGGATGTGGATTTGCAGTCACAATTGAAAAAAACAACAGCGGGATTTTGGCTGCTGGGACTGGCTGATGAGACTCTTTCCTATTTTTATTTTCAACCAATATAGGCTAAAGAGTGAGAGAACCACCAAAGATGATGAGAATCAGGGCAGAATTGTTTCCTGCATAGTTCTGGCAAGTGGCACACCCAAGAGCTGCTAGGGTGTAACCAAACCATTAATTTAAAGAAAATGAGGCTTTGCAGAAACTCAGAGATGGAACGGAAAAGGTCTATCAACATATGCTGACAAATCAGCCCAGAATCATATCCACCCACTAAGGGCAAGTCACAATTTAGAACCAGAACACTAACTTCTGCAAAATGAGCAAGTGACTCTGAATCAAGACTGAGAATTTATTTCAATAATTTTATCAATAGTCAACCATATACAGTTAAGTAATATGAATAATAATTAAAAGAAACAGGACGGTGCTGAATGTTCTCTTGTTCTACTGCAGGGGTGAGGAACCCCATTCAGCACAGAGGGTGAGAAGTCTTCTTCTCCATGGCTAAAAAGTGCCCCTTTCAGGCTGACTGGGGGGCTCCAGGACACTGCAGAAAGGGGGCTTGCTACAGAAATAGTAATGGGTCTGTGACTCTCAGGACTGGACTGAGAAGGAATGGTGAAGACCACGCACCCCTTCCTGAACCTTCCCAAGAACAGGAGGACAGTGTTGATTTAGAATAGCGGTTTGCAGAAGGTCATAGTTCAGAGGCTGCAGAGGGGAAGAGCTAGGAAATATTGGGAGAGCAGCAGGAAGAAAAAGCACCAGGGGGGAGACAGCTGACAGACTCAGTGTCTTTGGAAAGGATTCATAGACCTCCCCGCCCCCCCAGACCTGGCGTGCATTGAGAGTAGTAGAACAGAAAGCTCAGAGGCAGAAAGCACAGGTCAGCCAGCGCAGGAATGAAGTAGAATAGGAGAGACAGATGGGTGGGACTTTACTTGGAGCTACGCCATTATCTGAGAGTCCGCTCTCTCTGTGAATTATGAATAAAATAACATGGTAAGAACTTCTTTTTTCCCCATTGCTGGCTGCCAGCCACGAGGAAGGGGGAGCCTGACAGTGACCCCCCCCCCACGCACAACCGCAGACTGCTAAACCCCTGACTGGGACACTTCCCAGGCCGTGCTCCCCAGGCTCACAAACCCTCTCTGACTCAGCTCTTAGACTTCCTTCTGTCATTTTACCTGGCTGGAATGTGTGGTAACATCTCTTGTTTGCCTGGGTGAGGGATGGATAGAGTTGACTATGCCTGGTCATACTCTCTTTTCCCACACTGACCACTACTGGTATGTGGTCCCCATGAGGAAATGCATCCCTTGGAATGGAAAGGGCTCCCCACTGCTGCCTTAGTACTTTATACTATACAAAGGCATATATATCAAATCTGTTGCTCGTATTAGGCAACGTCCATCACTGAAACATACCCTCTGCCTCAGAAGGTTACCCACAAGGGAATGTGACCTTCAGGCTGAAAAGGGTACCACCACCGCTTCCATAACATGGTATTGGTGTAACAGCACAGTGAAGCTAATCAGATTTGGTGACATGACGACCTTGTTAAGAGCAAACAGAAGACTAGCTCTCACTGACTTGGTCAATGGCTGCTGAAGGGGCTCATAGGCAAAGCTATCACATTAGGGCCAAGTGTAGGCAAGATATTTCTCTATAACGTGTGACTATGTGCAAAGATTTCAGTGTGTTTGTATACGTATATTATGTAAGGCCACACACCAGATTCTGTATCAAAATGCAATTTTGTTGCTTGCATACAAATAAATAAGCAGATTTACCTGTTCCTGGTTGTTCTGCACAACTTGGGAAAGGCCAGCTGCTATATGGATGTTGGTAGACCCATCCCCAAATATTGACAATCTACCAGACACTGCCCACACAATTTCTAGTTCTTACGGCTGCAAATATCCATTTGGAACTTGTGGTTTTGAATATATGTTATCAGGACATTTGATTCTGTACCTAATACTAGATTTTGTAGCAGGATTTATATGCTTGCCTGGAAATGTAATGTAAACTTTACCCTAGAGTTAATGGTGACTACTCATCCATTGCCAAGAAAGGGGACAGATTTGCACATAATTTGCACATGCTAGTTGATATGTATATATTCCAATGTAGGGAAAATGGTTTTTATCCAACTGAGTTCGGCTCACATTAGACCAATTAAAATTAATGAGTATATCTAATTTAGGCCCCTTAATTTCAATAGGTTTACTCTGAGTAAAATGTCATTGGATGGAACCCAATTTCTATAATTTGAACAGAGATTTTGCCACAGTGGGAAAGAATGTGACCAGGAGACCTGTTTGCTCCCTCAGTCTGCTTTCCAAATGCTGTTAACTGAGGGTGGGGGACAAATTCAAAGCCCAAGCTCTTCCTCCCTATGGTTCTTTATCTCCAAATTAGACTTAGACCTCCAAATAGAGGTGCAATTCAACTCCACATGGCTCTCTGAAATATAAATAACCCATTCCTCCAGACACATACACAGCCCATCATAACAAGGAGCATTTCACAGTCATCTACTGAGAAAAGTCATTTATGAGAACACATTTAATTCTGTTGAGAAGGCTTAGCCACTTACCACAAATGCTATCACACTCCTGACGGGAGATTCCCACAGAAAGCAGCTTTGGAGAAACTGTATCATGTTCCATATTGCCATAGTGATTCTTTTCACACGGTCAACGTTTCTCGACAAGATCTGGTGAGCATGAGGTGGGAGGGAAAAGAAGATTCAAAACAAGGAGGACTTTAAAAACAAAACAAAAAGGAACAGGGGCATGATAAAAAATTAAATAAATAAATGAAGCAAGCTCTTGAGTATCTATCTAACCTTTCTGCATGTGGAAGTGCCCTCTCTAGTTAAGTCTGTGTGCTTGGAATGCGTCAACAAATCTCTCTACTCCTCCCTGACTATTCCACCAACGCTAAAGGACAAAATGATGGGAGACAACTATTATTGAAGGAGGGCAGGTAGCCACAGCAGGACGATCACTGGCTGGGAGGTGGGTACCAACGTTAGCCTCCCCAGCCCCTTTCCACGCACTTGTAGAACAGCAGCCTGCTGTAGAGGCAAGGTTTGGCTACCCAGAGGCGGAGCTACCTGCTCCGACACCTGGAGTGGCGCGGAGGTGGGGCTAGCCAGCCTGCGAGGGCAGGGCTAGCTGCCCACACAGTGAGCATCCCTAGCTGGGTGCTAGCCTCCCATGGCGAGTGTCCAGGGGCGTGGCAAGCGTGGGGGTGCGCTGATGTCACCCCCCTCAGGGATGGCACCCAGAGCGGGCCGCAACCCCTGTAACCCCCTTCCTCCTCCATTGTGGCCACCTAGCCTGACTTGTGAAGAGTAAAAACTTTGCCACAGCTGTAGCTGATTTCAGGGGAAGGGGGCATGGTATTTATTTGGAAGCTATTGTGAATGGTGAGTTGACACCAAATGAGCTGTCTGAGAGAGGAGGTTACCCTTTTGGGTCTCTCCTTTGGCATGCGATGAGATGAGGGAACTCCCCATGGGCAACTGGCGGTGGACTTACTCGTAGGTCAGAGACTGGAGCATGTAATTCATGTAAGTGAGTTAACCCAATTTGCAAGTGAGAGGTGGATTGCTGGGGAGCCACATCGGTAGTAAGAGCCTGAATGCAGATTCAGTACAACTGGTGGGTATTTGATGATTTTGCTATTTTATATTGTTTTGATTGTTTTAGTGCATTTATTGCAGCTCTCTTTTGTATCAATAGGCTGTGCAACTGTCTGGGAGACCTTAGACCAAAAAGCAGTCTATGTACAGTGGTACCTCAGGCTACAGACGCTTCAGGTTACAAATACTTTGGGTTACAGACTCCGCTAACCCAGAAATAGTACCTCGGGTTAAGAACTTTGCTTCAGGATGAGAACAGAAATCGTGCCGTGGCATCATGGCAGTAGTGGGAGGCCCCATTAGCTAAAGTGGTACCTCAGGTTAAGAACGGCTTCAGCTTAAGAATGGACCTCTGGAACGAATTAAGTTCGTAACCAGAGGTACCACTGTATATATGAAACAAACTAAAGAGTTCCAATTTGGAACTCTCCTTATGTTTAAAACAAAGCCTTCATGTTCTGCGGCCACAAACTATTGTTCCTTATGTACAAAATTTTGTTAAAACCACAACAAAAAAGACAAAGACAATCCCAGCTGAGAGACAAACATACCTTCTTTGAAAACTTGCGATTGTCTTCCAAAAACCGCCTTTCGCGTGGAAAAAAGGTTCTGATACTGGCTTTTACCTTTGAAAGAATATAAATAATTGCATGACTTTGGTGTTTATGTTCAGATGTTCCATCTTGGTTTGGTACTTCAGCAACCAACTCTTTTAACCCATCCAGACTTGTGAAGATTACTAGATCTCCTAGCACCAAACCCCCTTAACCATTTTATCCAGACAAGAAGCCTGCGAGGTAGGCCAGGCTCATTGGCAGAGCATCTGCTCTGTAAGGCAGCTCCCTATGTTCCTAGGAAAAGGGCGATCCTCTGAAGCCATTTGACTTACAGGATTAAATAGAACATCCAGCTCCAAGTAGATGACACCTTTTGAGGGAAGTTCCAGGTCTTTGTTCTTCAGTGTGTAGCAACTTTGCTCACCATTTCTAATCTGCAAATTGAAAGAAAATAATAATGAGGGAAAAAATTGGAAAAAAAAATAATAATGAGAAAAAGATAAGAATCTCAACTGAATATCACCAAGTGCGCAGTTTTCACAGCAATGCTATAGGGTCTATGCTGGAGAGACAGTGCTTTTGTTTTATATGCAAGCGCAGCATGAGAGAGGCAAAGAGATTCCCATAGAGCATCCTGCATGAGCATCCTTCATCCTAAGGCGCTTTGCCTGCATCCAACTCATAAGCCTCTGAGTGCTGCTCATCACCACAATGGGGTGAATGCTGGCTGAGTGAAGAGGGAAAGTCCAATTCTTATTTAATATACAGATTAAATGCCAGCTTTTGGTCTTCTGTACCTGATTCTGCTACAGGCATCAGTTCAATGGCTAAACAGTACTCTGCTTGAATTTCTCTTAAACTGGAGAGACCATGCTCTAAAAGAGCATAATTGGCTAAGAAAACAAAAGCAGAGATTTAAAATATCAGGGTCCAGCTTCACATTAGGGGTATTACTCTTTACTGAAGCAAGTCTAAAACATAACACAGAGCCAACAAGCAAAGCACACTCCAGAACCCCACCAGCCAGTAGGGAATCATTCGCTCCAGTTATTTACAATTTTAAATAGTTATTTTCCTTCCAAATAGCAATAGGTTGTTTGGCTGGACAACTGATGAAGCAAAGTTACTACCAAAAACCCCATAAATTCAATGATGAATTTAGGAAAGCCACCATCTCTCAGTCTCCGACCACCCTACCTCCTCCGTCTCTGCAATACTGAAACCATCCTTGCAAGATTGCTGTAGATACTAAATGTGAAGCATGTGGAATATTTAAAATGCCGAAGACCACTGTACATGCGTTCCAACTTTTTCAGATACAAAACCGGAACATGTGTCTTCCAGGACGCACTCCCAGGCTTGTGCACCTTGCTCTGGCCCCCCAAAAGCACAGATATTGTGTGGTGCCCCAAAACATGCAGCTCTGGGTGCTGCGCAAGATCGCAGCCCCTTTTTCGGGACGAGAGCAAGGTGCGAGAGAGCATGTGAGATTGCGATGGACAAAATGGCCGCAAAGATCTCACAGAAAGAAACAGGATGTCTTGTTTTCTCCCCACAGCACTTGGAAAGTAAGCCACTTCCGCCCTGCAAAAGGAGGTGGTGTTGAGGGCTTCATGCCCCCACCATGCGTGGCAGCTGGAACTCAGCCTCCACACGATTGAGGGAATCCCCGGCCGTGTCACCCCCTGAACATCCAATCGGCTGGCTCGAGGAGCGTGGCCTGCCCTATTTAATGCAGGCACGACCGGGGGTCTCCCTCTTTCACCGCCTCCACTGGGGGGGGCGGGAACTCGCCACACAATACACTGTGTTGAGACTTCCAAGCTCCATCGAATGCCATGGCCTAGGGTCCCAGAAGATATCAAATATCAGCCAACTATATGCCAGATTTCCCAAGGGAGGGTCACCTGGTGCCTATGTTACATATCTTTAGTTGCCAGGAAAGAAACAGTGAGACTTGTTAGGAGGCTCCTATTCCCTCACAGGGGACGTGGGTGGCGCTGTGGGTTAAACCACAGAGCCTAGGACTTGCCTATCAGAAGGTTGGCGGTTTGAATCCCCGTGATGGGGTGAGCTCCCGTTGCTCGGTCCCAGCTCCTGCCAACCTAGCACTTCGAAAGCACGTCAAAGTGCAAGTAGATAAATAGGTACTGCTCCGGCGGGAAGGTAAACAGCGTTTCTGTGCACTGCTCTGGTTCGCCAGAAGCGGCTTAGTCATGCTGGCCACATGACCCGGAAGCTGTACGCCAGCTCCCTCGGCCAATAAAGCGAGATGAGCGCCGCAACCCCAGAGTCGGCCACGACTGGACCTAATGGTCAGGGGTCCCTTTACCTTTACCTTTTATTCCCTCACAGAGCTACAATTCCCAAAGTTCCCCGTGTAGAGGGATTGATAGTTCAGCTACTCTGGGAATTGTAGCTTTGTGAAGGGTGTAGGTAGGCCCTTTTCCCCACCCGGAATTCACCACAACCTCTCAGGTGGGCGCCATTGCCATTCTAAAAGAACGAAGGAGGTATTCAATGGTGAGAAGGGTATCATAGCCCTTTAAATGTATGGTGTGAATGTGGCCAAAGAAACTAGACGAAATAGTTTGGAATTTTCTCACATTGCAGACACAGAGAGAGAGACTTCTCCTCCCCTCCCGCTGCCTCCTCTTGCCTGCCTTGTTATGCAAATCCTGAGGGACACTTGACAAATGTCTATAAAATCAAGGAGGGGGGTGGAATCAGAATCTAACATCTTCTCACTGTCATCTCACACAGCCGGCTGCCTCTCGCATAGACCATTTGGCAGGCGCCTGCTCTCCAGGAGACCAGCTGCTCACACCGCTCCTGTCCAGTAACATCAGGGATACGAGGACTCAGGGAGAAATTAACAGAGTCATCAAAAATTGAATAAAAGATGTTAAGGAGTTGTTCCTTCCCTGTAAACATCAAACGGCCCGTCACATGATGCAGGCTGTTCAAAAAAAAAAGTCTGAGCAAGCATTGAGCAGCTATAGCCTGTACAGAAGGGGCTTAATGCAGTCCCGAAGTCAAGGACATTGTGAAAAAGGGGGCGATGGTGCTGTGTTCAAGGTCAAAAGAGAAATATGAAGCTTAGAAGTGATAATGTAAAAAATTAAGGCTTGCATCCAACCAAGGTACTATACATGTTGTTGAGTGAACCCCAATCTCCATGCAGCAAGAGACTTCAATGGGTACCTGTGCTTACCCAGGGTTCAGTTTTCCTGGAATGAAGGTCAACAGAGACTGTATCTATAGGACATATGGTTTTCTTTACACATATATACAATCCGAGCATAAGATGGAGGCCCCACAGCATTTACACCCCAGCAGATTTTGCTTTCCCACTGGGGTGAAGCCTTAAGTCACAGCTTTGGGTCCAGCACAGAGCATCAGCCAAAACTCTCTCACACAGACCCCCCTTAGTGTATTGTTTTCCATTCTAGGATGATGCGGCCTCCAGCCAGGTAAGGTAGGGGAAAGTCCATCCGTGTGTCTCTATGGCAACTGGACAACCTCTTCAGATATGCAAGTGATAGTACTTAACTGGCCAGCTAAGGCCATTATCTTTCAAAGCAACTCTGGTAATGCCAAATGCCCACCCCACCCCCAAAATACCCCTTGGCATCGCACCATAAGCACCATCAAGGACAGGCAAGGCTAACTGCTGACCCAGCCCTTGTGTGTTCAGGCACAGAAACCTTCCCCCTAAATAAATTCAAACTTGACTCAAATTTTTGGTTTGGTTTTTGGCAGAATTTAGGCCACAACTTTACTGATTACAGAAAGTGACTCCTTGCATAGGCTCTGGTTCGACTAGCTCCCTGCCATGCAGGTAGCGCTGACCCAGGGTTCCAGCATAGGTCAGCCAAGGGTGAACACCTGGATAAGTGGAAAGCCGGGAATGGGCTAACTCTGCCACCCAAATGTCCCCCTGGACTCAGGCACGGGCACAACCCCCTCTCAGGGGTTGACCAAACCATCGAGTCCCTGGATTCCTTTAACGGAATACCCTTCACATTGGGATGGCGTTCTCCCATCCCTATCACGTGAACCTCAGCCTATCTGCAACCTTACAAGTTGTGACAATTTGCTACGCGGCAGGTGAAACCCAAATGGCAACAGCCAATCAGCCAAGTGGGGAAAATTCCTGCCGTGCCCCTGTCCCAACGACAGATGACACACAATGGCATAGCAAGGTCAAGCACAACAAGCCCTAAAAGTAGGGAAAGGTGGGCGGGTGTTCCAAATGCACACGCCAAAAGAGGAAGCTCTGGGTCACGCGCATGAGCATAAATAGGTCCCTTGAACCATTTGGACTGCGTCCCATTGGCCAGATTGTACCCAGCTTCGAGGGACCTACCAATCGGGTGTTGTGGCTGACCAATCGTACCCACCCACAACACAGGGTGTTGGTTTTCCAGGTCTTACCACAATACGTGTCCTCTTTAAGGGAGAGCCCGATTTGTGGAACTGAATGCACATGCCACGAAAGGGAAGAAGGTGCCTTCAGAGGCATAGCGTGGGCGGGGTGAGGGAGGGGTCATTGCCCCAGGCACGGTTTCTTCAAAGGGACATTTTGCTCCTCACACTGCCCCCGCCAACCCCACGGTGCTTTGCGAGTCTGATTGCACACCCCAGCTTCACAAAGCAGCATGGGGCTGGCAGAGTGTCAGGAGGACACAACAGATACACACCCTTCCAATCAGTCGAATCCAGACTGATTGGAAAATGCCTGCCTGTCCTGCTGTGTCCTCCTCATATTGCCCTCCATACCCTGCTTTCCCCCCCCCCAGCACAGCTGTGCACACCTGCCCTGGGCACCATGAGGACATGTTCCACCACTGGGTGCCCTAACAATGAAAGGGAAGAATACTCATGACTTATTTTTAAATATTATGTCCATTTTCACTCATAAATTGGCAACAACAGGCACCTAAGAGAGTTCTGAAACCACCTGGAGAAAAATGTGTAGCAACTCATTTGGTACTAACTCACCTGGAGTACAAAAAAATAAAGGGAAGAAAGAAGAGATAGCATAATATTATATTCCAAAGGGAAATCAAGCTGATGAGCCAATGTTATCTCCATTCTCTTTCTCTCAATTAATCACAGAATTTGACTGAAAGGCTACCCCACTTGCAGCATAAAGGACCACCATAAATACTGACTGAAGCTTATGAATCACAAAGCATTTTGTTCTTTTCAGCACAGTTCCTACATGCAACAGGCTAGGTAGCCATATCCCACTGAAACCATCAAGGCAGGAGAAAAACTCACAGACAGTAAAGGGATCGCAACTTTCCCCAGGAAATCTGGAGGCTTATCTCCATCTTCATCAAACACCGTCACTTCTAGAACATCGTGGATGTCTTTAACGGGGCTGGTGAGATTCACAGATACAAAGGAATGACAAAAGTCAAGATCTAAACGAACGTAATGTATGTCTATGTAAGAATTTAAAAGTTCACGAAAAAGAAGTCTATGGCAAGAGGCAAATAGGACATACAATAATAACCAAAATACCTTATGTGCTTTACAACATTGCAACGCAAACACAGTGTGTTATGTCACATAAATAATTTCTAAAACTTAAGAGGTGTATCTTGTCAGGAACCACTCTATTCCTGTAATGGTAATTTGTCTTAATTTGTTTGATATTCTGAGTTTTGAATTACTGTAGCACACCCCAAGCCCTGCTGGTTAAACGTGGGTAATAGATGAAGGAGGGTTGCAAAAGAAGTATTTTGAAAAAATGCATTTCGACTTAAACATTTTGACATCAGTGGCATCTAAGCTAAATAGCATCATTCTTTGCATGGCCTCAGATAATTAATTCTAATAATATATTGTGCTGCTGTAGATTCTAGAGGGAAAAATTATGCAGAACTCCTCTGCAATACAGAAATAGGCAAGCTTCGATGACTCTTGAATCAATGCTGATCTTAAATTGTCTTGATAAGTTCTGTGAACTAGTTTTAACCCTGCTCTATGGAATCTTTCAATGAAGGCTAGCAAATAACTACCTTAAAATAAAGTTTCAGATGCAAATCCACTTACAATGTGAAGACCTGGTTCCATTCTGGATTAAGGTTTTTGTAAACAGTGAAACTCTGAAGTCTGCCATTCCCCAGCTCCAACACACAAAAGGGGTCACTTTTTCCTGGGAAGGAAAGCCAGATATATAATTTGTTAGTGCATTATTTGACCACTGAAGAAAAACTTGCCAGTTATCTTGGTAAACTGCTTGACGACACTTTTCCTCATTTCAGAGCTTCCAATATAGCCTTTTCAGTAATGCATTTTTTTGCTTGAGTTGCAGGAATCGCATATTAGAAAACCTTTCAACTATTGAAAAGTTCTACTCAGCTAGCAGAGGGCTATGTGAGGGCAACTGGAAAATGACTCTGCTGCAGGGAAATAAGTTATTGCAAAACAAGGCAAACAGCGCTGCGCAAATGGTATCCTTTCCTTGCAAAACGCGCTCATTTACCGCCCCAGCACGTTAAAGACACAGCATTTACCTTACAACAGTCTGCTCAAGGAGGTGCTGTCGCTGTGTGAATTATTTCTGTACTTATTGAAATGTGGGGCATTGTCGTTGCTGAAAAATGTTTTGCAACCTTATAATTTTAAAACAGGGTTTATCATGTTTAAATTGTGTGTGTTTGTTTCTATAAATCGAGTGGGGATCTATGTTAGATGAAAGGCAGCTTAGAAGTTGTGCAAACCAGTAGCAGCAGCTAAAATAAGTCTTGGGAACTCACACCCAGGTCTAACTTTTAGAGTGCTATGGCTGTAGGTCATGAGTGGGGAATCTTTATCAGCCTTAGGGGATGCATACCAGTGGTGGGTGGAGCCAGAGGCAAATATGGCTGGAGCAACAGGTGCGACTCTGCTTTGTATAGTACAGTTTGTAGCTTGGAAGTCAAATGGAATCCATTCCAAAAGTCTGTTCCACTTCTAAAACATTAGAGAACCAAATCACAGCTTCTGATTGGCTGCAGGAAGTCCCTGCAGCCAATCAGAAGCCGCAGAAGCCCTGTCGGACGCTCAGCTTCCAAAAAAATGTTTGAAAACCAGAACACTCACTTCCGGGTTTGTTGCATTTGGGAGCCAAAACGTCCGAGTTCCAGGGCGTTCAGGATCCAAGGTACAACTGTAGATTGCATTCTACTGTGCCCTGAACATACTATATAAAAATGAAAATCTCTTCTGCAGAGAAACTGGAGGACAAAATTCAGCACAACAATATGTTTGCTAGCTTTCGTTCTGTGTTAATGTGTATATGAATCTTACTACACATACAAAAGCCAGGCTTTCCCTGACCTATAGCAGTGGGCCCTGGTATACTGTGTGTAGGCTCCCTAAATCAGTTTTATTTGTTTTTATGTTTTCATACTGTTCTATTGATTGAAAACCATATTTGTTGTTTAGATGACTTGTTAGCATCCGCCTGTATCGGGAGACCATGGAGGAGTGTGCCTTTGTGTGTGAAGTCAGCCTGATGGAAGGTTGCAGTGCCTGCTGTGGCTGTAGAGGCCGATACAGGAAAGACATGTTTTGCTGCAGCTGAGGCAGGTGAAGGTGTTCAGTTGTGCTGATGCAGGCGCACCATGGCATTTCTTCTCTTGTTTTTACATTGTACACTGTTTACAATGCTTAATTTTTTATTTATACCCCACCCTCCCCAGCCAGAGCCGGGCTCAGGGCGGCTAACACCAGTAAAATTACAGTACAAACATAATATGAAAAGAAAAAGAAAAAGGAAAGGAAAAAGAAAAGGAAAAAGAAACAGAAACAGAAACAAATTAAAATATGGGTTAAAATACAATTTAAAATGCAGCCTCATTTTAATAGTAGCACATAGATCAAAACCATAAGGGGAGAGAAACATAAGGGTCAGACTGAGTCCAAACCAAAGGCTAGGCGGAACAGCTCTGTCTTGCAGGCCCTGCGGAAAGATGTCAAGTCCCGCAGGGCCCTAGTCTCTTGTGACACAGTGTTCCACCAAGTCGGGGCCAGTACTGAAAAGGCCTTGGCCCTAGTTGAGACCAATCTAACCACCTTGCGACTTGGGACCTCCAAAGAGTTGTCATTTGTGGACCTTAAGGACCTCTGCAGGGCATACCAGGAGAGGCAGTCCTGTAGGTACATGGGTCCTAGGCTGCATAGGGCTTTAAAGATCAAAACCAGCACCTTAAACCTGACCCTGTACTCCACCGGGAGCCAGTGCAGTTGGTAAAGCACAGGATGAATGTGATCCCGTGGCAAGGACCCCGTAAGGAGCCTCGCCGCAGCATTCTGCACCCACTGGAGTTTCTGGATCAGCTTCAAGGGCAGCCCCGCATAGAGCGAGGTACAAAAATCAAATTAGAGATTTGAAAAATGTTAAGCAGCTTAGAAAAGTTTGAAATACAGCATGATCACATGTTACAAGGGGGTTCGGTTCCAAGAGTTCTGCATATGCATGAAAATCACATGTGCCCAAACCTTGGAGCAACCCAATGGCTAGCAGGTGAGGGGAAGAGAGAGAGAATCCTTAGTAGTTCCACAGCCAATGCACCAAGCAAACCTTGAGAGCCAGTGTGGTGTAGTGGTTAAGAGCAGTGGACTCGTAATCTGGTGAACCGGGTTCGCGACTCCGCTCCTCCACATGCAGAAGTGTGACCTTGTGCTAGTCACACTTCTCCGAAGTCTCTCAGCCTCACTCACCTCACAGAGTGTTTGTTGAGGGGGAGGAAGGGAAAGGAGATTGTTAGCCGCTTTGAGACTCCTTAGGGTAGTAATAAAGTGGGATATCAAATCCAAACTCTTCTTCTTCTTGCCCAGCAAGCAAGGTGGAGAGCTTAAAATCTATTTCCATGCTAGCATAGGTGTCAACTCCCTGGGGCCCTTGGTGCCAGAGCACCCACAAAATTCCCTATGAAGGGGCCAGGCACCCACAAATTTTGGTGCCAGTGCCATGCATACTGCATGGCACCCACAGCCCCAGGTACCCACAGTTGTGGGGCCAAGCTGGCACTCCTACATGCCAGGTAACCCCCAAAGGAACCCAGTGCAAAAAGAGATTTTTGGATTGATTTCAGCCAGCCTGCCTTCAACTGTGTATCATTGAAATCACACAAGTTAAACACATGTAAGATGTGATCATGCTGTATAAATAAATATGAAAGACTCATACACTTAAAAAAAATGCCACTATCATATATGTATTCTCTTTGGTATTTTCTATTTTTCATAAGATAAAAAAGGGGTCAATGCTGGGAACTTCTACTATAACATGTTGGGGGAAATAATCTAAAGTCTAGATCAGCAATATTTCATACCAGAAAAATCAGCAGCCAACAGATCAGCAGCTTTTAATACTTTTACTTGCAAAAATCCAATATCCTTTATGTTATGGAAAGAGTTCCTTATGCACTGCAACAAAAACATTGTCAGAAGAAGTTAAAATATTTTTAAACATTTATTTTATTTACACATTTGTATTATGCCTTTCTTAAAGAATAAATTCTTTGCAAGGCCAAATAGTGATTTAGACAACAGCTCTGTAAGTAAACTATAAGAAATCATTTAATTATGATCTGCTCAAGGCACTTCCTTGCCCTCCCAAGTCCCCTGAACAATAAACTCATGACTAATTTATTTTCTGGTGATGACAACATTGCAGTTGAATATCTATAGCTGTTTTAAAATTGCATTCCTTCTATTTGCATAAAAACAAATGCCTGGAAAGCACAATAGCACGGAACGTTTTTAAAAAGAAAGCTGTCATTTTTAACTCCTCCATGGATTGGAAAGGAAATTTCTGGATTGTTTTGTACCCTATTTTTCATACATTGTTCACAGAACTCTAAAAGTTTCTGGCACTTTCCCCACCACCACATATAAGAGCACAGAAAAATGCACGGCTGTCCCATGCTTGCTTGAAATGTTGAAGAATGGAATCTAAATGAATCTATAAATATGCTGTGTCCCAGGATGGCACAGGGAGTCAATCCGATTTCAAGAACCAGCTTGTGTTCACTCTTACAATCCAGGGTATTTTCCTGGATTGCAGCAATGCAGGGGGTGGTAGGGAGTATTTCATATTTGAATGTTTCCCCTAGTTGGATGTTATGTACTGGAGTTCTCACCCTGGGCCAGCAGGGGGATACCGTAGATAGTTATGCAAATAAGGGATCGAAAGTGACGTTCACTGATTGGGTAGTTTTAGAAAATTGTTACAGTTGCATTGTACTGGAGCTCTATATAAGCAGGCTGACTGAACCCTTCAGTTCAGTTCTGTTCTGGCCTGTGAATAAACAAGAGCTGTTTGAAGAATCGCTGTGTCGTCTGATATGTTCACCCACAACTTAACATTGGAAGAAGAAAAAAGGAAAGGAAAACTCCTTGCATATAGAAAGCAAGCATGTCAACGAGAAGGCTATGCTTTCTACATATCTGCCCCTCTTTTCCCCACAAGGAGGATGCACTTAAAACCAGTGACCTACCCTACTTAAGTGGCACAGGCTGCTCCTGTTCAGTGCTCTAGTGTGACGATGAGCAACATGTGGCACTTCAGATATTGTCGGACTGCAACTCCCATCATTATCCCATACCATTGGCCCTGCTGGCTTGGGCTGATAGGAACTGGAGTCGAATAACATTTGGATGGGAAAGTTTCCCCATTCTCATTCTGTAATTAACTAAACTTGATGTGATAGCCAATTGTCACATCGGAAGTGCAAAACAGAGCTGAAACAAATTTGGGGAAGATGGAGAAAGATCTGTCTCTCTCTCTCTCTCTCTCTCTCCTGCTCTGTAATAGTAAAGGAAATTACTGTTTTGAGAACTATCAAATGCAAACCACCCATATGGCTTGGGGCTAACTGTACAGACAATTGATTAAATCACACCAGCCATAATATTTAGTGTGAGATACATTTCATTCCCCCATTAACAGACATGTGATTAGGATCTGGGCTTTGACGTCATTTTCTGGTACAATTCCCTTCTACACACACACACACACACACACACACACACACACACACTTGATTTTTCCTTAAGGAGAAATGGAGGCCTTCAAACTCACATAGCGCTGGAAAAGTTGTTTCCTCTCACTGGGGTCTCCCAGAGGGCAAACGCACAAATCAGAGATAGAAACTCCTGAGCAGGGAATGACAGAGATCACCATCAACAGGGACCCAGGCTGTCTCTCCAAGGGCAATTCCAAATGGTTGGCTTGTTTTCCAGGGAGCGCACTAACATCAACTTTACACCTAAAACCAATAGAATCAAAGGGGGTTGGAATTAATGTGCAGTAGCCATTTCAGAAAACATGCAAACTGTCTTATTAGTGCTGTGCTGAAATCTGTCCTCCAGTTTCACACCCAAAAGTTTCCTTCATCTGCAGAAGAGCTTACGTACCAGTAAACATTTCTCCAGCCTCCCCAGTGGCCCATGCTTCCTGATCTGGGAAGCACTATGGGAGGAGTTATCTTACAATAGAACCACCCTAAGCTGTACATCTGTAGTACAAGCACCCAGGGAGACTGCAGAATGAAAATCATTGGTGAGACGATTTGCAAAATGAAAGAACAGACACTCTCAAACACCCCCTCGCCACTGCGTTCAAAGTTAGGGTGATTGATCTAAACATAATCTTGGGGGGACTGAATGGATACTCTGCTGGAAAGTTAATTTCAATCTGAACGCACCCCATCAAAGGAGGGTTGTTGGGAGCAATAAGACCTTGACAAGTCAGTAGGTTAGATTCATTCATTTGGCTGTTCTTCAATCCTTATTGGCAGATTTATTCAAGCTCCTTCATAAGCTTTCAGCTGGCTGCCATCTTGGATCTGCCCCGCAATGCATGGGCCAGGCACCTTGGCAACCACAAAAGGAAGGCGAATTGGGGAGGGAAACCCTGCACTCCACATGTGAGAATTTCACCAACATTTTCTCTCCCCTTTGATAATTCCTTAATGCAATTTCTTTCTTGTCAATTGATGCAAGAATAGTCGGGGAAATCACAGGATAAAACATCAGCACAGTACTATAGATTACTATACACGGCACCCATTATACAGTGGTACCTCAGATTAAGTGCTTAATTCATTCTGGAGCGCCGTTCTTAACCTGAAACTGTTCTTAACCTGAAGCACCACTTTAGCTAATGGGGCCTCCTGCTGCTGCTGTGCCGCCGGAACACAATTCCTGTTCTCATCCTGAAGCAAAGTTCTTAACCCGAGGTACTATTTCTGGGTTAGCGGAGTCTGTAACCTGAAGCGTATGTAACCCAAGGTACCACTGTACACTTCTTGCAATGTGCACAGTTGTCTTTAAAGTGAGTTAGATCAAAAAAGCTCAGATAGTTGGGGGTTCCAGAGAAGGGTCTCCAACACCTTCTTCATTACACACACAAACAATTTTTAAAGATTTATGTTAGGGTAATATTCCAGTCAACATATGCATGTCCCCAAAGACCCGCTGGAATTATGTATATTAAGCAGAAAATATGCCCAGTTCCATCTTTATGGGCAGATGATGTGCACATTCCTTGTGAGGCCGGATAATATCAACCACTCAACTTACATTACCCCTAATGTATATGTGTCTTACACTTTTTTGAAAAAAGTGGAGGGCAACAAAAACATTTAAGTATTTTTCAAGAATTGAGAAGGGAGGGACTTGCATCCTTGTAGCTGTGAAAAATCTTGGAGTGAAAGCATTAAAATACATTTTACTCGGAAATACATCGGGCAAACTTTTCAAGAAGCTCTGTAGATGAAAGTTATTATGGAAGACGTTAAGCAAATATTTGCACCTTCCAACTGAAAGGGACTCAAAGAGGAAGAGTTTTGCTGCCATGGGTTGCAGTGGGATTGAGTTTCCAAACACAGCCAGAGATGGGAAGATTTTGGAACAGCCTTTCGGTGCTTAAGGCCTGTTGACAGGTTTTCATTTAAACAAAAACTTGTTTAGGTGTTTTCTTAATGGCCATTTAAAAAAAATCCTCAGAGGTTCCCTCCAGTTGGGTTCCTTCTAGGTAAATGGGGCACACATTACTCCAGTTTGATCCCTTTCCAGCTGTAGAACCACAGTGGCTGCCAGCCATCTGCTCTAAATTGCAGAGTCTACTTCTAAATAGCCAGTTTTGGAGAGAAAAGGTGGGCACACAAAACCTCTCCCTCTTTCCCCCCAAAACATTCAAGCTAACATCATTCCAGGTGGAAAAGACGGTGGCGTACAATAGAGGCTAAGCAATCCACTTGCAAGTCATTTGAAGCATTTGCTTTCGGTAAGTGCTTAAACCAAGGGAATGAAGCGACTCTGACTTATGTCTTTGCAGAAGTGGTTGCCAGTTGCACAAGAAACTGAAAGTTTGCTCTTAAAAGGCTGCACTTGAGCATACTTGGGGAAGGTGCATAGTTCAGTGGTAGAACATCTGCTTAGCATGCAGAAGGCCCCCAGCTTCAATCCACAACCTTTTCAGGTAGGACTGGGAGCAAACCCTGTCTGAAACCTTGGAGAGCCCTGGCCAGCTGGAGAAGACTAGGTGGTCTGACTTGGGCTGCTCCCTATGTTTTGTTTCGTCAGCAGAGACATGAAACCAAGTCTTCTTGGGCAACTAAATACTTCTTTCAATCACAAACAACAGGTGTGGAGAACTTATAGACCTTTGGATGCTGATAGACCCCAACTTCCATCAGGTTGAACCAGTGTACACAATGGCCAGGGCTGATGGACATTAGAATGGATGGTCAGAGATTCCCCACCCCTGGAAAACCCCTGCAGGCTTATCAGTAATGGCTGGCAAACCTCCCAGGATGCCAATTATCTCATCAATACACTTCCTCCCCAATGAATGCTTTTCAAGGTGAGAGTGACACGCCTTCCTCTTTGTTAGAACTGCATATTATGCAGATTGCCTCTTAATTCTATAAGTCATCTTGCCCATGCTAGAGACAGGCAAATCTGTCAATTTCAGTTCCTCTCCGTTTCTCATTTTCCAAATCCTAAATGCAGCTTCCACATCTTCACTTCAATTTGCAATTTTTAAAAAAAGAAGTCCTCGTGAAAAATTCATCTGCATTTTAGTGCAAATTTCACCTAACGTGCACCTTTTTTTCTATGAAATTTTGCTCAATGTGCACATTTGCAAAGCCGTTTCCTCTAATGCAATGCATTTTTGTACCTTTTAAAAAGCTGATATATCTATTTTTATACACAATTTACCCCGGTATCTGCATATTTGTACACATGACTTGGCTGGAGAACAACATTTGAAAATTCAGATGAATGCAAATAAAATTAAAGATTTGGGTTTCAAAAAGTATAAATTGGGGAGCCTTGTCTTTTAAGGCAAACTGCTTCAGATTTCTCCAGCATCCCAACCCCTGATCTGCATGGCTGACATGCCACTAGAGGAGGTCTGAGGAGACGTAACATAGGGGACAACAACTCATACAGTAAACAGTTGTAGACATTACAACAGTGTTACGAGTCCCTCGCCTTGGGGGAGACCATTTTGGAACCATCACTGCTGGGTTCTTTGCATTCCATCTGATGCTCACATGGTGGCGGGGGGAGATGCGAACGAATTGTAGCATTGCACTGAGATAAACTGCTGTGTAAACAATTAGACACACAAGCAATTAAACAGCTGGATTGCCACATTAAAACTCAATATGCGTTCGCATTTCTTAACTGAGTCTTTTCATACCACTGGATCGCATAAAGTTTAATCACTTATTTTTTAAGTGTGCAAATGTGTTTCGAGTGGGATCTGCTGTCCCGGTGAAGGTGGGAACTCTGTTGGCAATTCCTTAGCAAAACTGTACAATCAAGTCTGGGCTGTGCTCTGAGTGATCCCAGATGGTTTGAATAGTTAGTGGCTGTACAAAAATCTTTCAGCCTTGGAGAAAAGCAGCATTTAACCCTGCTTTACCTGATGGTTTCAATCAGCAGGAATATATCAGATGCCACCAAACCTGACATTTCATCTTGTTTGTTTAAACTTTCACTTAAACTATTTAGTTGTTTATTATTATTACTATTACATTTATACTTATTAATACCCTGCCTTTTTCCCAGACTGGGACTCAAGGAAGCTTACAAATAAAATAGAAACAGCTAAAAGCATAGAAAAAACAATCATTTCAAAGTAATTAAACACTGATATTTTTAAAATGAGAGAAAGGGAGGGGGGAGAGTAAGATATTTAAACATACAGATAATTAGAGTTTTTATTTTAACTTGACTTTACATAAATTTATTTCATACCCTTGTCTTACTGATGCCTAGAATCTTGTAAATGCTTTTTAAAAAACATTTATGCTCATTTCACTATTGATTTGATTTCACTTATGAGTCCCATAAAATATCTCCAAGTGACTGCACAGCAAACACATGGCCTAAAAATACAACTCCATATGTAAAAACAATTCCATATATGCAAATGCAAGTGGTACAGTTCACAGAATCACATTCTAGAGTGACAAAGAAGCAGACAAAGGGAGAATGGGGCTATGCAGAAGCAGACTTTATTCCCCATGGCTGGGCTCACTACAGATATACGCCTCTAAATAAGTGTAATCCCTTGCGGACTGCATGGTTGCAGACCAGTAGTAAAGCATTTGTTTCACAAGCAGAAGGTCCCAGGTTCAATCCCTGATATCTTCAGGTAGGGATAGGGTTCAAATCCTTACTCAGCCATGAAGCTCACTGGGTGACCTTGGCGCAGTGGCGTAGCGTAGGGGGTGCAGGGGCGGCCGGCCGCATCGGGCACAACATCTGGGGTTAGGGCAAATCCACAGGTTAGGGGGCGCAAATTACTTGCCTTGCCCCGGGTGCTGACAACCCACGCGACGCCACTGCCTTGGCCAGTCAACGCCTCTCAGCCTAACCTACCTCACAGGGTTGTTGTGGGGGGTTAAATGAGGAAGGGGAGAACCACATATGCCACCTTGAGCTTCTTGGAGGAAAAGGTGGGATAAAAACGCAACAAATAAATAAATACACTGAGAGCGAGTGAACGAGTGAGCAAGAGAGATTAATCCACATTTTGTTCCCCACATCAACTTCATTCATATTCAAGGCTTTCACAAAACACATATTTAAAGAGGGGGGGGGAAACTTACATTCCCAAAACTTCTTCGTGCTTTTTGTTATCCTTTCCCCAGATCTCAATCTCCAACACATCCTTCCTGTCAGAGAAGTAGTGAAAATCAAATTGTTCCCTCCACTGTGGATTTGCACTCTTACATAGTGTCTAGAAAACATGCAGTTACAAGGTTTATTTTTCTTTCAAAAGGTTGTTGCTTTTGTTAAAACAAACAAATAAATAAAATTCAATCTGCCGAAACAAAAGGGGGAGAGGGGGAAAGAACACAAATACAATCTAAAACAATCAATATTTAGGGCATAAAACACTGGAGCAGGAAAAGGTCTGTCCCGGAGGACTTAAATCTTTGACACACATATTGAACAGGTGTGCAAATGTAAAACACACCGAGAGGTAGCCATATTGAAGCAGGTACGATCAACTGTTGTGTGGCTCCTGAAGGAAAAGGGCCATAACTCAATGGTAGAGAATCTGCTTAGCATGCAGACTTTACCCTACTACACATATTTGTAAAGGTAAAGGACCCCTGGACGCTTAAGTCCAGTCAAAGGTGACTATGGGGTTGCAGCGTTCGTCTCGCTTTCAGGCCGAGGGAGCCGGGGTTTTTCCACAGACAGCTTTCCAGGTCATGTGGCCAGCATGATTTAAACCACTTACACATCATGTGACTAGAGAACTCTGCTGCAAAAGTGCAAATTTTGAAGGAAGGCTTTGGTGTTTCAGTTCGCTTATTGTGTTGCAAAGTGCAAAACAGGTGGATTTGTCATTAAATGCCAAATGACTCAAACTTCTCCCCCTACTTTCCTAGCCTGCGGACGTGTTATTTTGCGTTTAATCTTGATAATGGGGTGGCAAGGGTTAAACGCCCCCTCCGCTCTAAAGAAGATGGCAGCACCCACAATACGAACATACACACTGAGCTGCATTTCAGTTAAATAAAAATTACAGTTGAACATCCATGATTAGCTATCCGGAAAATGCTTCATTTGACCCTTTCATAGTTAGCTTCCTTTGCTGTGTGCTTACATTTCAAAATCAAGCTGCGCTAAATATCTAGTGGAATGAGGTTATTGGAGAAGCCACACACACAACGACTACCATCGGCACCAGACACTTAAGAGTAACAAACATCAGTGGTTAGCCCTTTCCATTAGCATGCTTACCTTGCTCTTGTATTTTTGCTCTCCCATTTTCAACAAAACAAATATCTGTGCCATGCCCCCTGCAGGGATGTGCTTCCCTTCTATTAAGGCAATGGTCACCGTCCCATTCCACAGCTGGCTCTTCCGCCAGGAATCTGTCAGCCTGAAGGATCGAATGACACTTGCCTGAAAAAAGGTGAGATGGCACAATTCCATAAATTCCCCATGTATGCATTGGGCATACATTGTTTTCTAAAAAAATAAGTATACATATGCAAACATATATCCAGTGCTTTTTTCTGGGGGTACGCATACCCCTAAACATTTTGTGAATCTAATGGGAGAAGAAACTAAAAAAAATTAGTTTCTTCTCTAGCACGGTGAATCGTCAATTCCTTTGCTACCCCCAATGGCAGCTTCCTTTCCTTTCCCAGTGTTTCCTGAGTCTCAGGCGGAAGCAAGAGTACCCCTAAACATTGTTTTTAGAAAAAAAGCACTGCATATATCTATATCTATATCTATATCCACACACACACACACACACACACACAGGATCAGTAGAAGGGCTAGATGAATTAAGTAATTTTAGTTTAGACCAGGCTAAAGATCTAAGAGATTTTGCAGTGCCTGTTCTACATTAGAGCACTTCAAGTGTTTTAAATTCTGTGGTGATTAAGCAAATTTCTTGATCGTGCATTCTTTCCCCCCTTATTGCCTCACCAATGCAGTGCCCTCTCTGGATGGCCTTCATTGCATCCCATTGCATGGGAACGCTAGTGTCTAGAAAATCAATCTCCTTGAAATATTGTTCTAGTGATTTAAATAGGCACTCCTTGGACACTGCATCGGAGAGCAAACTTGGATCAAAGTACAAATTTTCTGTTCTAGGAGAGAAGGCATAAAGAAGTAAATGTAAGTCACTTTGAGTTGCCTTTGGCAAGAAAAAGCAACTAATAAATTTGTTGTTGTTTTGTTGATAGACACTGGGGCATATCCAGAAAGTGTTATCAAGCCAAAATCTGTCAAACCTTACCTTTTGGTACCAGTATTAGATTGACGTGTTAAAGTGTTTTAGGTCTTTTAGAAAAGCACGGAAAATCCTGAGATGTGGGGTATAAAGCTTGCCAAGTGTCCCCAAAGTCCCAATTTTCGAATAAGCTTGTACCGTTTCTGGAGTTCAAAGGCTTTATTCATGCAGGAACTATTTACAGAGTGAGTGCAGATCAGAGAGCGAAAGCAGCAGACATCTTGTCTGGAGAGAACAACAAAGTGGCTCAGCTTTTAGAGGTGGATTTAACTGAGACACACAGAGGCTCAAGCAGAGCCATCATGTGGTTTAAAGTAACACATGCATTAACTAGAAGCTCAAGAGAAGGAAATTTATTTGCTTTTCTCCAACATAGACTACATAGCCGTGGGTCTGACTTCTCACTTGGCAAGACATTCAGCAAGTTGGCCACCACAAAATAGAATGTCCTAGCCCTGACTGCTGCCAGCCATGGTCCAGGGGTAAAGACCAGGGTGTCAAGATGATGGTCAGAGCCATTACAGAAAATCTCTTTCTCCCTCTCTCCCACTCTCTCACTCACAGTCACCCCTTGATGACTGCAGGTAACATCACATGGTGACCTGCATATCTGTGATGGCTCACTAACAGCTCCCATCAGAGACAGAACTTCTCTAATTGGCTCAAATGCAATGCCTCACAAAATTTCCACATTAACTTGCCCAGTCATCAAGCATAGAACAAATCAAGCAATGTTTATGCATGTGTGGACCACCTCTAGATAAAATGATACCTGTGGAAAAGCTCAGAAAAGAGACTGGCCTTTTTAAACAATTGTTGCTTGACAAACCTTTATCAAAATGTCTTAATCAGGAGAATTGTGTGTGCACTCTCTCTCTCCCGGACACATGCACATAGCGTGCAGAAATTTTTCTTGTAAGCTAAGCATCCATGCCTTCTGCAATCCCACACACAGATCCATTTATTTCTATACAATCACGACATTCCACTGGAAATACACATCTTGACTTTCCTTTTACCAAGCTAAGAACTCCCACTTTTTTAACAAAAGAGAGAGAGAGATTTCATAAATCCAGCTGCAGAGGGTTTTTTTCTTTTTCTTTTTAAGGTTTTGTCTCACAGGACAAAAAAACCAAAAGCCTGCCCGTTCCCATGGACATACTTCAAAGTCCCCACTGATCATTTTCTCCCTAAAAGCAGCAAGCTATTTGAAATCCCGTTTTCTTTTGCTCTAGCCCCCCCCCTGCACCCTTCTACTCCCCCTTGTTAAAAGGAAATGGGGGAAATGTCCCCAAAGGATCAAAGGGCAAGCCTACAATCTGCCAATTGCCAAAGAAAAACAGCCCCGCTTCCGTGAAATATGCTCTAAAATAATTTTGCGGCTTGGTATGTCCTAATTCCGCTCTTCCCCGCTCCCCCCTCGCAATTGGATGTTTGTCTTGGAAAGGCTTCTTTCTAACTTGTCCATAAAAACAGGCCCACTTAGGTTCTGTGAGGCCTGCGAAAACGGAATCCGAGGCTGGCCATTAAAAGGGGCTGGGAGATTGCTTCCATATGGCAGAACAGCATGAGAGAGGAGAGGCCAAGGCCCTCCAGCAGGCTGCACTTGGCTGGGACCTCCTGCTCTATCCGTGGACACTCGTTGCGTTACAGCAGAACATCTGGATTATTGCTTGCAATGTCCCTGGGAAATATCCACATCCCATCAAAGCCCTTTATCTCTCTCCACCGTACTTTGAACATTTTAGCGCAAAGCACAGCCCTGTTTGATGTGCGAAGCTCACTGTGTTTAAAATCCAAAGTGAGGCCCCCCTCCCCCTCCAAACCTAGCCTGTTTTCCCCTCACCTTTTTCTCTTCCCCTTTCTCTTTATTCTTTTCTTAGGATGGGAGAGGATAGCTGAAACTCACTCCCAGAGAGGCAAAACAACACACACACACACACACACACGTTGGGTCATTTCTTGAAGTAATTTCCTTGTCAGTGAAATCCAGACTCAGAGAACAGGGGGTGTGAGGGAAAAGAGGGAAGAAGGGGTTTCATTTAAAAAAATTTTAAAAATTGACCTCTGATTTGGAGATCATACTGGAGGAACACTGAGTTCTTTGAGTGGAATTTCATTTTCAACTCGCTCTCCCTCCTGAACACACTCACACAACATATAAAGTCATATTTGTGCATGCTTGCATTTAGGCTGTGTACAGAACATGAATCTAAAGCATATTTAAGCGACATTTTGCCTCCTAAGAATTCTGGGAACTGTAGCTTACTCTTCACAGAACTATAATTCCCAAGACGTCAGCAGCCACCAGTTCTACATAGCTGCTCTCAAGTCTATGGGAGCTCACAACAAAAGTTTGTGAACAGGGCTAGTAAACAAAGGTGTTTGAGAGAGCACTGAGCAAGAGAGTTTAAGGTTGAGGCCCAGAGTGCTGTGTTACCACATATGTAGGATCAAGAGACATGCACAGCAAGGCAGCACGAGCAGTGGTGAACAACGCCTATGCCTTGTGGATCAGGGGAATGTAGTGGATGTAATGCATCCAGATTTTAGTATGGCTTTTTGACAAAGTCCCCCATGATTTTCTTGCAGTAAAGCTGGTAAAATGTGGGCTGGACAATGTTACTGTTAAGTGCATTTGTAGCTGGTTGACTGACCCAACTCAAAGAGTGCCCACTAATAGTTCCCAAAATTAGTCATCCCTCAAAAAAAATGACAAATGCAGTGTCATGGAGTTCTGTTCTAGGCCTGGAGGTGATCAATATCTTTATAAATGATTTGGATTATGGAATTGAGGGGATGCTAATAGACTTTGCAGATGACACCAAACTGGGAGGGGTAGCTAACACCTCAGAAGGTTGAATCAGGATTCAACATAACCTTAACAAAATGAATTTCACTAGGGAAAAATGTAAGGTTCTGCACTTAGGCAGATACACAATTATGGGATATAGGGATACCTGACTTAGCAGTACATGTGAAAAGGATCTTAGTAAATCACAAGCTTAACGTGTCAATAGTGTGATGCTAATGCTATTCTAGGATGCATCAACAGAAGTATAATGTCCAGATTGATGGATGTCATGGTACTGCTCTAGTCTACCTTGGTCAGACCCCACCTGGAATACTGTGTCTAGTTCTGGGAACCACAGTTTAAGGATACTGACAAAGCCGGAATGGGTGCAGAGAACACCGACCCAAATTATAATGCTTTGGAAACCAAGTCTGATTAGGAACAGTTCACAGAGTTGGGTGTGTTTGCTTGGAGAAAAAGTCTTCCAACTTTCAGCTTCACTGGTCATCGCCAAGTTCTTGTGTTACGATAAAGTGAGGGAGGAAAAAAATATATCTCCGCTGTCTCCATACCATACGTAATTTTAAATACTTCTATCATGTCGCCTCGTTCAGAAATGAAGAAAATAATATTGAGTTCTTCCTCCTTCTAATACATTGTCAGATGTCAGAAGTGTTGCAGCGGTGGAGGTGATGTGGGGGTGGGGGTGGGGGGGAATACACCAGTGTCAAGTATATGGATCCATTAGAGTGCTTGGGTTTGTTTTTTTATTTCCTTCTGGTCTCTTAATCCAGTCCATCCTCATTTCTTCTGCCCCATCAGGCTCCTCCTAACCATACTTCCATAACCTCCCGTGCCTCCCTGAGATACCCAAATTCCCCCAGCACACAATTTTCCTTTTGTAGCCTTTATGTTCCACCATGTGCGTGCACACACACACATAAAAAAAAATGAAAAAGAAGAAAAATGGGGGTGGGAAAGAGCCAGTAATGTTTCCACAAGCTGGCATTTCCTAACTAAAGAAAGTTATTGATGTACAAAGCCAGTTTTTTTTTAGTGTGGCAAGAAAATCAATAAACCAGGAAATATGGCTTTGTCAAGTGTTGCCCAGGTAGTCTTTCTGGGAAATCCTTTACTGCCTCTCAGACGGTCGCAGGAGTTGTTGTTTTGTCTTAAGAGCTCGCTCCAGATCCCAAACTCTGCCTTCTGTATGAAGTACTGACATTCTTCCACCCTCTAGTGACAGCAACAGAAAAAGGCAAAAGGTTCGGAGTTCCCCTCTGCTGCTTTCTCTCCTCTTGTTTCTTTTTGCAAAATATTAATTTTGCCTCTGCTACACACACTTGGTTCACCCTCTTTGGAAACTGCTAAATTTCATTTGTGTGTGATGGCAGGAGGGGGAGAAAGATCTTGAGACTTTTGCCAGAACCTTGCAAACTAAGCAATCTATCAAAAGTTTTGTCTCGGTTATTTTTTTTTAAAAAAAGAAATATAGAAATAACACATGAAAAGTTACCACCTAAAAAATAAATGAGAGAGATGGAGGGTTTTTTTAAAAAAATTAGATGGACTGTGAAGACCAGAGCTTAGAAGTCTGGATTCTTTTTGAGGGATCTCCAAGGCCAAGGAAATAAAGCAAAATTGAGGGCTGGATGAAGAAAGCAGAGCACTACCTTACAGGGCTGTTGCAGAGATCAAATATAGGGTTGAGATGCCAACCCTGAACTCCTTTGAGAAAGAGTGGGGGAAATCCTCAATGATACATTGGGCAATAGACATGGGAATGATTGTGGAATACAGACATAAAATTCACAGCATGCTATGCTTTAAGAGAAAACTAGATAAAAATGTTTTATCAATGGTATCTGACACCGAGAAAATAGGCAAAAATGTATAAATCAAAATCAAATAAGTGTTGGGAATGCAAAGAGAAAGAAGGTACTTTTATCATATGTGGTGGTCTTGGAGCAGGGTTAAAGCTTACTGGGAAATGATATATAATGAATTGGAAAAGATGTTTAAAATAAAATTTGTAAAAAACAAAACAAAAAAGAAGCTTTTCTTTTGGGAATTATAGGGGCAGAACTACCCAAATTGTATAGAAATTTATTCATGTATGCGACTACAGCGACAAGAATGCTATTTGCCCAAAAATGGAAAAAAGAAGTCCCGACAAAAGAAGAATGGATATAAAAACTTATGCAGAAATGGTGAAACTTACTGGAAAAATAAGAAATCAAGATAACAAACTTTTTATAAAAGAATGGAAAAGGTTTATTGAATATTAATAGATAAGAACATTGGCAGGATTATTGCAATAACCTGCAGTTTTATAAGAGTAAATATTTAAAGTACATGAATAAATGAGTAAGTTCATTTAGAATCTGCAGGAAATATAAAAAATAAATTTCAGGAATTTCAGGAAGAGGGGGAAGGAAGTCGAGTTTTGAAATGTTAAAATGATTGGGAAACTATTGAAATGTATATAACTGAAAATCATAAATAAATAAAAAATGGGAAAGGATGGAAAAACACTATGGGAAGAATATAATCTGGATTCTGAGGAATAAATGAATGGCCAAATTTTGTTAATAATGGAGAAAAGAGGAACACGTGCTTTCCACTCATCCACCTCTCCAGTTATTCCACCAGTGCGCTTGTGTTACCCAAATCAGTAACTGTGGGAAGAAGACAGGAGAACAAGACTGCAAGTTCCAGATACACATTGAGGGGAGTTAGCAGGCAACTTACCTTGGGGGTAGAACGCTTTCTTCGGTTCGTCCATCTCTGTTTGTCATGTCCCCAAACAGAGCATCCATGGGGCAGAGGAGGCGGGAAGCAGAAAGGGACAAAAAGGTGGAGATAGTTAGCAACTAAGCCTAGCCTTTGAGAAGAGCTCATACAGTGGTACCTCTGGTTATGAACGCTTTTGGTTATGAACGCTTCAGGTTACGAGCTCCACTAACCCAGAAATACATAGTTGCTTCTGGTTGCGAACTTTGCCCCAGGATGTGAGTGGAAATCGCGCGTCAGAGACGTGCACACACAGTGGCAGACCCCATTAGCAAAAGCGCGCCTCAGTATAAGAACAGTTTCAGCTTAAGAACGGACCTCCAGAACGAATTAAGTTCGTAACCAGTCGTACCATTGTATCTCCTGCAGATTCTTAAGCTCTACAAATGCTATCAGAAAGGCCCTGCATAGATAGAACATTTTAAATGTTTGTAACCTCCCTTTCAACCAAATGTCTCAAAGGAGACCTAAATAGACATACTAAAAGCAATACAATTTTTAAAGCTACTATGTTGTATTATTACATATAATGAAAATCTAATGATGCCATCATGCTGCAGTCTGCTTGGCCACAGACAGGTGGCAGTGAAAACTGGACTCTCAGTACCGCTGAGCCATTGCGGTATGGGCAGTTGGGTGGGCAGCTCAGGCAAGAAGCCCAGGTGAGCTGTGGAGTTTTGGCACAGTCTAAAAGAGGGAGGAAGTGAGAGCTGGACCATAAAGAAGTCTGATTGCCGAAGAATTGATGCTTTTGAATTATGGTGCTGGAGGAGACTCTTGAGAGTCCCATGGACTGCAAGAAGATCAAACCTATCCATTCTTACGAAAATCAGCCCTGAGTGCTCACTGGAAGGACAGATTCTGAAGCTGAGGCTCCAATACTTTGGCCACCTCATGAGAAGAGAAGACTCCCTGGAAAAGACCCTGATGTTAGGAAAAATGGCAGGCACAAGGAGAAGGGGACGACAGAGGACGAGATGGTTGGACAGTGTTCTCGAAGCTACCAGCATGAGTTTGACCAAACTGCGGGAGGCAGTAGAAGACAGGAGTGCCTGGCGTGGTCTGGTCCATGGGGTCACGAAGAGTCGGACACGACTAAACGACTAAACAACAACAACAAGAGAGGGAGGGGTGGCTTTGTTGAGCTCTAGGGGGGTGGGGGATGCTATGGCAAGGAGTAAAGGGAGAAGCAGGTGGTTAAGTTGCTGTTTCCAAATAAGCAGGGATTGTGTCTGGAACCATCATTTGCATGTAAATCATGTGCTCTGGCACTGAGCTCTGGCACTGCACAGAGTGAGGCCCCACTGAATGCAGTGCACCTGTCCGACCTGCCTCCATGCCCTGCCAGGGACCCTTGCCCATCTTCCCACCTGTCCTGGTGCCAGTTATTTTTCCTGGGGAAGGATAAGAGAACCATCTCTTGAACCACTTACATTTCTTTTAACATCTGCTTGTTTCACGGCAAGCCTCACGTCCAACAATATCACACCCATGTCATCCTCTAAGCTGTTTGGATCTTCCAGTTTTAGGGTCAACTCACTAGTCCTGAAAGCAGAAAAGAAGAGTTTATTTAGCCAAAGACTGCCTTTAAGATCACAGCAGACAGCCACCAACTATTATATGGTGCCACTAAGATGCTATTTCTGTTCTCCATAGCCTGTTACTATTAATGTGCATGATTTACATATTATTTAAATGAGCAGAGGTGGGGCAGTTTTGGCCTTCCAGGTCTTGCTGGACTACATCTCCCATCAATCCTGACCATTGGCTATGCTGCCTGAGGCTGATGGGAATTGGAGTCCAACAACATTTGGAGGACAACAGTTTTGCCAGCCCTGTTCTAGAACAGTCATTATGAAGAAAAAGGCAGGTGTCTGCATGAAAGACCAAAGGGAATGGAAAGAAGAATGGACAAAGTTTTGAGGCCAAGATGATTAATAATAGTAATAATAATAATAATAATAATGATAATAATAATTTATACCCCACCCATTTGGCTGAGTTTCCCCACTCACTCTGGGTGGCTCAAACAAAATTAATGATGATGATGATGATGATGATGATGATGATGATGATAATAATAATAATAATAATAATAATAATAATAATAATAATAATAATAATAAAGTGATAAAACATCAGTCATTAAAAACTTCCCTAAACATGGCTGCCTTCAGATGTCTTCTAAATGTCAGATACAGTGGTACCCCGCAAGACGAATGCCTCGCAAGACGGAAAACCCGCTAGACGAAAGGTTTTTCCGTTTTGGAGACGCTTCGCAAAACGAATTTCCCTATGGGCTTCCTTCGCAAGACGAAAGCCCATAGGGAAATCTCCGGGACAGGGCGTCTTGCCCACTGTCCTCGGACCTCCTCCCGCCGCCAGGCTTCGGAAGGCTGCTCTGAAGCCTGGCGGGGGGCGGAGAGGTTTTTTTAAAACCCCGGGACAGCGGAGGACTTCTCCGCTGTCCGGGGCGATTTTAAAATGCTGCTGGGCGGCAGCGCTGCCGCCCAGCAGCATTTAAAAAAACCCCGGGACAGCGGGGGACTTCTCCTTTGTCCCGAGGTTTTTTAAAATGCTGGCGGGCGGCAGCGAAGGCTTCGCTGCCGCCCACCAGCATTTTAAATTCGCCCCGGACAGCGGAGAAGTCCCCCGCTGTCCCGAGGTTTTTTAAAATGCTGGCGTCTTCCCCTTTCTCCCCGGACCTCTTTTGAAGCAAGGGGCGGCAACGCGGAGAAGCGATCTTCTCCCCGTTGCCGCCCCTTGCTTCAAAAGAGGGGACAGAGGGAAAGGCGCGTGCCTTCCTCTCTCTCCCCCGGACCCCTTTTGAAGCAAGGGGCGGCAAAGGGGAGAAGCGATCTTCTCCCCGTTGCCGCCCCTTGCTTCAAAAGAGGGGACAGAGGGAAAGGCGCGCGCCTTCCTCTCTCCCCCCCGGACCCCTTTTGAAGCAAGGGGCGGCAAAGGGGAGAAGCGATCTTCTCCCCGTTGCCGCCCCTTGCTTCAAAAGAGGGGACAGAGGGAAAGGCGCGCGCCTTCCTCTCTCTCCCCCCCAGACCCCTTTTGAAGCAAGGGGCGGCAAAGGGGAGAAGCGATCTTCTCCCCGTTGCCGCCCCTTGCTTCAAAAGAGGGGACAGAGGGAAAGGCGCGCGCCTTCTCCTCTCTCCCCGGACCCCTTTTGAAGCAAGGGGCGGCAAAGGGGAGAAGCGATCTTCTCCCCGTTGCCGCCCCTTGCTTCAAAAGAGGGGAAGGCTGGCGGGGGGCGAAAATCTTTGTCCCCCCCTGGCTGCCTTCCCGGGAGGGCTTTTAAATCGCCCCGGACAGCGGAGAAGTCCTCCGCTGTCCGGGGCGATTTTAAAATGCTGCGTGGGGGGGGAGCAAAGACTTTTGCGCCCCCCAGCCTTCTGAAGGCTGGCGGGGGGCGAAAATCTTTGTCCCCCCCTGCCTGCCTGCTGCCTGCCTGCTTTAAAAGCCCTCCCGGGGGAGCGGAGAAACGCGTTGCGTTTCTCCGCTCTCCCGGGAGGGCTTTTAAAGGCAGGCAGGCAGGGGGGACAAAGATTTTCGCCCCCGCCAGCCTGCAGAAGAGGTCCTGGACCTCTTCTGAAGGCTGGCGGGGGGCGAAAATCTTTGTCCCCCTGGCTGCCTTCCCGGGAGGGCTTTCAATCGCCCCCGGACAGCGGAGAAGTCCTCCGCTATCCGGGGCGATTTTAAAAATGCTGCGTGGGGGGGGGGGAGCAAAGACTTTCGCCCCCCCCCCAGCCTTCAGAAGAGGTCGGGGGACAGATTGTCCCCGGACCTGGTCTGAAGTCGGTTTCCATAGGAACGCATTAATTGATTTTCAATGCATTCCTATGGGAAACCGTGCATCGCAAGACGAAAAACTCGCAAGAAGAAAAAACTTGCGGAACGAATTAATTTCGTCTTGCGAGGCACCACTGTAGTTGTTTATTTCCTTGACATCTGATGGGAGGGCGTTCCACAGGGTGGGTGCCACTACCGAGAAGGCCCTCTGTTTGGCTCCCTGCAGCCTCACTTCTCGCAGGGAGGGAACTGCCAGAAGGCCCTCAGACCTGGACCTCAGTGTCCAGGCTGAACGACGGGGGTGGAATCACAGTGACCTAGAGTTGCACCCACACTTTGTGTACCACAGAGCTTATATGAATTTAGAGACAAACATTATTAACAAAATTCTAATTTGAATTTGCTTGCAATATTTCTTTCATAAACTTGAGAAAGGGTATTGGCACAAGTAATAAAAAATTGTACAGACCTATACAGGGTATTGAAATAAGTATATTAAATATACAGTGGTACCTTGATTCTCAAACTTCTGAACCGTTTGACTTCTGAAACGTTCAAAAACCAAGGCTTCCAATTTGCGCAGGCGCCCTGGAAACAATAGCCAACAACCGCATCGGATGTTTGGTTTCCGAAAAATGTTCAGAAACCAGAACACTTATTTCCAGGTTTTTGGCATTCGGGAGCTGAAACGTTTGCGTACCAAGACGTTTGAGAACCAAAGTTCCACTGTATATGAATTTAGGTAACTAAGCACTTATCAATGTCCTAATTTGTTTTTGTTTTTTTGTTTGGGGGGGGGTTATTATTAGTTTTCCGAATTTCCCAATTCTTCATTTAAGACTCTTAGAGGAAACGTAATATCAAATTTCTAAATAATATTGCCTTGAAATTCAAATGCAAGCTGTAAATTTGAAGAGTTTATGCATTCCTCATGGTTTAATTGTAAAAGAAAAAGAGGTAGAAGATTCAGCAAGCTAAATTAGAATTCTGTAAGTTTTAGCATTTCGAGTCTCACAGAATGGATAACCAGCATCCCTAAGTAAATCAAATTAATGTTTAATAAGCTCTAAGCATACCTGTTCAGTTCCAGTTCACTCAGCATGACAACCGCTGAACCCATAAAGTCTGAAGAGGTTAAATCTCGATCATACACCTGATGCATATGGAAACAGGAGAAGAGGAAAAAGAAATATGTATCTGGACACCTGGAAACAATTACTGCATTTCAGATAAAAGAGCTATTTGTTCTCATTTAGTTCTACTTCAGGCTCAGCAATTCATGTGAAAAGCAATTTTTGATCGCATTTTTTATTATTGTTTATTGGCCTGGTTCAAAACACTAAGCTGTGGTTTGTTTAGCTAGCATGTGGCTTGTTTGAATGCCTGAACTAAGACAAGCAGACTAACCTGGCTTGTTGTCTTGAAATAATGCAAAGCCAGGGTTGTTGGTTTACAAACCATGTCTTGCTTTAAACTCTACTTTGGCATTGGTTTGAGCCCAACTATTCTGCTCAGTCATGCTTTGTTTGGCTATCCCAGTTCATGTTATGTACGCAAGTTCTCACCCTGGGCCAGCAGAGGGATACTGTAGATAGTTTTCACTCAGGTCCACATATGCAAATAAGGGATTGAAAGTGACGTTCAGTGATTGGATAGTTACAGAAAATGGTTACTGTTGCATTCTAGTGGAGCTCTATATAAGCAGGCTGGCTGAGCCCTTCAGTTCAGTTCTGTTCTGGCCTGTGAATAAGCAAGAGGTTTTTGAAGAATCGCTGTGTCGTCTGATATGTTCACCCACAACTTAACAGTTCAGATATTCAACAGGCTATAGGCAAGATAACTGGAAAACAAACCCAGCTTTGGAGAAGCAAATTGGCCTGTGTTTGCTCATCTGAGAGATGGCTCGATGTTTGTTGAGCAAACCATGGTTTCATGTTACGTGTAAATAAAGCCACTGAGAAGTTTTCAGGTGTATTCATAGCACTTCTCCCCCCCCCCCAAAAAAAAACCCCTCAATATATTTTGTTCACTTTTGTCAACAAAACAACTCAAATTTTCCCTAAAACCAATTTGTAATTATTATTTTTTAAAATGCAGTTTTGGAAGTTTCAAAGAAAAACTATGAACACATTTTTTCTTTGAAGAAATATTCAAAAGAAATAAGAAAACCTGACAAGCTGTTAACTTTTAAAGTTGTGTGTGTGTTTTTAAGGGATAAAGCTTGCCTTTGCCACCCTCAGACAGATGGTTCCTAACATACCGATAGTTAAAACTATTCATTGAGATTATGCCCAGAAATAGGTGTTTTTATCTATAGGCAGTGCTCACAACAGCTATTACGAAGGCTTGTTCTATGGATAAGAGACAGTTTTCAACAGAAAGTTAGGACTATAAGCTCCTTTGTACCAAAGTCAAGTTCCTTTAGCTGAGATTCCTGCATTGCAGGGGTTATAGATGACCATTGGGGTCCCTTCCAACTCTACGATTCTATGATTCTGATCCATTTAGCTCAGCACTATCTTCACAGACTGGCAAGGGCTCTCCATGTCTTTCCTAACCCAATGTTGAAATGCTATTGAAATATACTCGGAGTAGAGTGTGGATTTCATGCCCTTTATTCAGCTCATAGTAGTGAGGAATGGAAGTTCCCCTGAAATGTCTGCTTTATATACATTATTTACACAATGGGTCCCACATGATTGGCTAATTCTGGGATTCTCCTGTAGGCCAATCAGGTCGCGGATTCATTTCTACCTGGAGATGGATTGGGTGGCTCCTGCGGACCAATCAGACTGCTGCATTTTAGATCCTATTCAACTCATGGAATGAACCCAAAGCCTTCTCTGATTGCAAATCATGAAATTGCTGACAGAAGAATACAACCCTTGCCTATTATGTACAGATTTGGGGGGGGGGTCCTCCTATCACCACTGGTAGTTAGGCAGGCTTTTGAAATACTATAAAAATCTAGCTCCTTCCTATTAAGAGTGGCACTCCTGAGAAAGTGCTGGTCTGGCCTTGCTTTCTTTCCATCGGGAAAAGAATTACGCTGAGAATTAGAACCTATCTAGATATGCAGGAAATGGACTGGGGGTTGCTATGTAGTAAACTCTACCTATGGGTGAAGGGCTAGAATAGATTATCTATGGCCACTCTGGGTAAAAACTCACTCTGTCTACAAATATGTTAACCCAGAGAAGAAACACAGAGGGGAATTGCAAAGTTCCGAGGCCATTCTCAAATCGAATCAACGTCAGTCGAGAACATCATCTGTTCTGCATTTTCAAGATGCCATCTGCTTGTAGACAGCACATCTCAAAGATAATTCCTCAGGTGTGAGAGGTTTCATTTGTGTATTTATTCTATCTACGAGCCACCAGTAACATGTGTCTGCGGAGCGATGAACAAATGATAAATAAGACCATTTAAAACGAGAATCTCAAATGCACACTAAAATCTAGCATAACTATAACCAGACTCTTCTCTGAGATGGGGACTGAGATGTCAAGCCACTTTGAGAACTGTAGCTCTGTAAGTGGATTCGGGGATAGCCAAATATAACTCATCAGCACCTTCACAAACCACAGATCCCAGGATTTTTGGGGGGAGGTGCCATGCCTGTTCATAGTGGTATAACACTGCTTTAAATATGGGGCCCAAGTGAAGCTCCTAGACCACCTTCCCATACCCTCCAACATTTCTCTGATGATAACGGGGACATTCAAAGACAACCTCATATACAATGCATCACAGCACTCCAAAGAGGAGGGTTGCCAGAGCATGGATCGTCAAAGAAAAGTTATCAGCATCCAGATAGGGTTGTCATACCTGAGGTTCTAGCTTAATGTGGTCAAAGGCCAGCCCTCCCCAGGCCATTTTAGGCAAAATTCAGCGGCAGCTCCAATCAGCAGCTTACCTTCACGCAGAGTCTTTGGTCAAGGGCCTGTATTGGAATTATGACAGTTTCATTCCAAGCAGGGTTCAGGTTCTTATAGATGACTTTGCTTTTGTAAAGCGTTTTCCCATTCAGCTGAAACTTCACATAAGGGTCACTCGTACCTGAACAAGGAAAGAACGAAAAGAATTCAGTTGATCTAGAAAACGTTATCCCGGCTATCAGGTTAAACCAGTAATTCCCAAACGGTGTATCTTGGCACTCTAAAATGAGAAGAGGATTAAGTTAATTAAGGGACCTCTCCAGATGTCCTTTTTATCGTACATTCGTGGTGATTTGTGATTATGATGGTATCGGTGCTGTTAGACATGGAACTGGCATTGTTACTCGTTCCACATTTCTGAGAAATCAAACTTTTAATGTGGCACCACCCACACTTCGGAACTCCCTGCCGATGGGAATCAGGCAAGCTCCTTCGCTGTTCTCTTTTCAGCACCTGCTATAAACTTTTTTGTTTAAGCAAGCCTACCCAGAAATATAGAATGCTGACAATGTGTTTTGATCTGGTTTTCAGCTTATTGCTGGTTTTTATTATTTTTCGAGATTTTGAATTCTTGTTTTAACTGGGCTTTTTTTTTTTTTTGCTGAAAATTTCATTTTCAAACACGTTGTTTCAAACCACGAAACACGTTGAGGTTTGTTTTGCTTTTACAGTCAAGACATATAAATATAGTAAGGAATAATTAATACATAATGCACAACCACACTTTCAGCACTGTTTATTTAACAAAATTTAAGTACCACTTGACTGTAAGGAAACCTGTGATTGGTTTCCAAGTTTATAAATGGATTGATTTGCGTGGCAAGTCCCCTCCCCCATGTGAAATGAAGACACTGGACACATTATTTAAGGTTAATGGGCATAAAAAGGCCACAACTTTATTGATGACAGAATTGAAAGGTATTGGCCTTAGGCATTGGCTCCTATCGACTACCCGGCATGGAGACCGGGAAGGGTTAACCACAAGCCGTGGGAGTCCTGTTGAAGTACGCCAACTAGGATCCCATGGGTGTCACCGCTCGGGGGCGTGCCGGAGGCCCTTACCTCCCTAGGTTTTGGACAAGGCAACGCCCCCCGGAGTCCTCTACCGGACTACCCTTTCCTTGGGGGAAGGTGATGGCGCTTCCTTCCCCCCCCATTCATTTGCATAACAATTAACCCCTGCCAATGCCTAACCGCCAATACCGCGGAAGTTGTGACGTTTGCTACGAGGTAGGCGAAAAAACCAAAAGGCTGATTCCTACCAGGCCCCCTGCGGAGTCCATAGCAAGGTCATAGCTAGCTAAACCTAAGGGTGGGTGGGATGGGAAAACCGCTCAGCTGGAAAGGGAAAAGAGGGCGGTTCCCGGGCGTGCCTGGCCTTAAATAGGCTAGGCCACGCCTCCCCAGCCCGCCGATTGGCGGGCCAGGTCGAAGACACGCCCGGGGATTCCCTGGATCTCACGGGGGCAAAAGGCCAGCCCCCACGTGTGTGGGAGGGGGTAACCCGCAACACCCTCTCCTCCCAAGCTCAGAAATGGCTTTCTTGCAAGTGCGGAATGAGTATTGTGTTCCACCTGTAACATTGCCAGCTCCTCAGATCGAAGCAGTTGAGTGGCTGAATATGGGACAAGGCTATTCTGCTCTCAATATTGCCGGTGCCTGCAACAGTTTTTGGGGGGACATACTGCTTTGCTTCCAATCGTTGTATGTTTTCACACATCTCTGCTCTGTCCATTCCCACCTCAGCCAGAGAAAGAGAGAGACAGAGAGATGCCACGTTCTTTTCACGTCATATATTTAAAGCACTATGATTCCACTTTAAACAGTCATGGCTCCTCCTAAGGAATTCTGGGAGCTGTAGTTAAGGGTGCTAACTGTTGTTAGGAGACCCCTATTCCCCTTGTTGTTGTTTAGTCATTTAGTCATGTCCGACTCTTCGTGACCCCATGGACCAGAGCACATCAGGCACTCCTGTCTTCCACTGCCTCCTGCAGTTTGGTCAAACTCATGCTGGTAGCTTCAAGAACACTGTCCAACCATCTCGTCCTCTGCCGTCCCCTTCTCCGTGTGCCCTCCATCTTTCCCAACATCAGGGTCTTTTCCAGGGAGTCTTCTCTTCTCATGAGGTGGCCAAAGTATTGGAGCCTCAGCTTCAGGATCTGTCCTTCCAGTGAGCACTCAGGGCTGATTTCCTTAAGAATGGAGAGGTTTGATCTTCTTGCAGTCCATGGGACTCTCAAGAGTCTCCTCCAGCACCATAATTCAAAAGCATCAATTCTTCGGCAATCAGCCTTCTTTATGGCCTATTCCCCTTACAGAGCTACAATTCCCAGAGTTCCCTCTCAGGATAAGCCACCCTGGGAATTGCAGCTCGGTGAGTGGAATAGTTGCCTCCTAACAACACTCAGCACCCTTAACAAACTACAGCCCCCAGAATTCTTTGAGGGGAAACCAAAGCAGCATCATAGTGCTTTAAATGTGTGGTGTGAACGCGGCCATAAGCTTCCATAGATCAGCCAACTTAGAACTGGATATCCCTTTATTTAATGCAGGGGAAGAGGAACTACTATCATTGCACATTCACAGAAGGGCAAAGCTCCACAGATAATACCGCTGAGTGTTAAGCATTTCCAATAACCTTCCAGAGGATGTTTCAATGCTTAGAAATGAGATGAACAGAGGTGATTTGCCTTACGTTCTATTGTTAATTTCTCTTAAATATTCCGGTCCCTTCTCTCCTTCCTTAAAAGTAAAATAAAGGAAGGGGAGACAAGAAGGCTCAAGAGAAGAGCCGGCCCTTATCTCCCTGATAAGCAGAGGCTGCCAGCATATTAATAGTAATTAAAAAAGAAGAAGTCCCTCAACTATTAACTACATTAAAAAGGCTATATCTGGAGGAGGCCAGGAAAGCAACTGGTAGAATGAAAACATGAATAAGGAGATTGAAGGCAGGTTGGTCCAAACGTATTCGCTTATCTGTTTCTTAAATGGAACAAGAACCGCACAACAAAGCAGTTCTTAAAAAGAAGAAAGGAAATGAACAGAGACAATATGTTTTTTCGGCTAATGCAATATTCAATCCCCAAATAACCTCTCCTCTTCGAGAAGGGGAGGAAAACATTCTCTGTGGGGATATTCTGCGTTTTTCACATCAACATTGGAAGTTTTACGGTTGCCGGAACATCCCCACGGCTTCTACCCCGCCTTCCCTTACTGTAAAACAATGCCGTTCGTGCAAAACGAAGGGTTTTTGTTGTTTCTGTTAGTTTTCTTTTTTTTTAAGCGTGCATCGGGGGGGACGGACGGGTTGGCGGGCGGTTGAGGGGGGTGGGCGGCGGGAGGCGAACTATAATGAAAGAGCCTTTTAATTAAATGAGATTGCCTCCCTGGGATCAGGACTTCATGCTTGTCAGCTTACTCTCAAAATAAACATCTCAGAAGCAGGGCCTCGGCGGTGTCACTTACGGAGGCAAAGCACGCCGGGTAATCCCTAGGTATCTTGACAGCTACATAATGTTCAAACTGTTTCACGGGTGAACGGCAGCACTTGCGTGAAAGAAAATATTAATGTCTGGAATTAATAGGGAGAAAAAGGGGGGACGGCGCTTGACAGCACCAAAACGGGGGGTGGGGGTAGGAGTGTCAAGTTAGGAGAACGTTAATTGTGAGGGGGGAAATAATTGAGAGGCGCCGGGGGGGGGGGAGAAGAGGAGAGGCGAGAGAAAAGCACTGAACACAGCAAGCGAGGGAGGGCCTCTCTCTCAGCGCCCACCCCGGAAAAGAAGAAGAAGAAGAAGAAGAAGAAGAAGAAGAAGAAGAAGAAGAAGAAGAAGAAATTGTCTCACTGTCAAGAAAGTAACGTCTCTACTAGGCAAGCCAGCCAGGAGGAGGGGTGAGAAAGGAGTCAACGGGCGAAAGGAGGAAGGAGCCTCCGTTGCTTGAGATGGCGACGCCAAGGATGAACAAGTGATGGGCCGTCCGCATCAGCCGACAGACAGGCTTTAACCCCAATAATCGGCAGCTTTGCAAACAACGGGCCTGAGAGGCGTTTCCGTAAGCAGAGAGCCGGCTGCCGAGATCCGAACCGGTAGCCAAGCGACTCCCCGTTTCAAAATATGTCCATTTGGCCTTCCCTCCTGAACTCTGCACGGATATTTTCTCTAACCTGCGTGCTGCCGGCACAGCTATGTTTCCCATCTGTGCTGAGATCCTACACAGTAGTCCAAGAACTTAAATTTTTAAACAAATATATGTTCACTTCCCCTCCATACTTTGTAGCCCAAGAACATCTGTTTTTAAATAAATAAATTAATATTATTATCATTATTATTTATTTATACCCCGCCCATCTGGCTGGGTTTCCCCAGCCACAAATATACAGTCATATCTTGGAAGTCAAATGGAATCTGTTCCAGAAGTCCCTTCGACTTCCAAAATGTTCGGAAACCAAAGCACGGCTTCTGATTAGCTGCAGAATTTTGAAAATCGTTCAAAAACCAGAACACTCACTTCTGGGTTTCACTTGTTCAGGAGCCAATTTGTTTGGCAGCCAAGGTGTTCGAGATCCAAGGTATGACTGTATATGCTATACCTGGAACTGTTACATGCAACACATAATACCCATTTCCGCAATTGTAAGCAATCAATCTTTTAGTTTGGCAGCAATCAACCTTTGGAACTCCTTGCCAACTGACCACCAGACAGGCTCTTCGCTGTACCCTTTTTGGCTAAAAACATTTTTGTTTAGGCAAGCCTGTCCAGGTACGGATATGCTGATGTGTTTCTATCTCTTTTTAGTCTACTGTTATTTTAAATATTATTTTTAAAATCTTTTAAATAGTTGTTTTTAACTGTTTTTACTGCTATTTCCATTTTTTCCCCCATTTTTCAAACAGGTTCGAGGTGGGGGGTTTTTTGTTGTTGTTTTACAATCAAGAGGTATGTGCATTTTAGGAAACAAATAAAATAAATAAATATTTTTCCCTTGTAAACTTTGTGGGGGTATTTTTTCTCTAACCTACATGCTTTCAGCATAGCTATGTTTTCCCTTCAAGCAGGCAAGCACAAGCTGAGAGGAAAACAATATGAACTATACATTTTTTGCCCTTCAAACAACCCCCA